AGCCGGTGGCGCATGCGCAAGACCCGTTCCCGCGACCCGCACGTCTCCCAGGGCCGGTGCGGGGCGCAGGGACAGCTGGGAAGATGGCGGGTGTGGTCCTGGGCGCTGTGGCTGCTTGGATGCCTGGTCGGAGTTGGGGCTGGGCGGTCTTGTCTCTCGGACCTCACCGGAGCCTCGGCGCGTTGCTTGCACAGAAGCCCCGGAGGGTGCCTCGGTGGCTCCCAGGTCAGTGTCCGGAAGGCGGAACTAGGACGCGTTCTTTCGAACACCCGCGGTCCCGTCAGTTCCTGTGGTAGTTTTTGGCGCCCTATTCGAAAAGGTCCTTCTCCTCCCTCCTCACCCCAGTTCTGGGCGCTTTGTACAGTTCTGGTGAAGACTGCACGGAGACCTCTGCCGCGGCCCGGGGATCCTCGGTGGCGTCGTATGCGGAGCGGGTTAGGGAGCTCTTGCGGATCTCCGCCTTCCTCCGGTTATGAAACGCAACCCTCGGAACAATTAAGATATGCATGTCATTGTTTGTTACCGTTAGGGGCTCACGCATTGTGACTGTTAAATTGCTCAGACCTGCCCTCCCTGGGCTTCAGTGAACTTAGAAGATGAAGCATGTTCTTTGTGAAGGTGTAGACGCTCTCACTAAGCCTGATTTTGTCTTCTCTGTGCTCCCACTTTGTGAAAGAACCATAGTCATCACAAAGGAATAGAATTTGGGCCCCAAAACGGAGCGTCAGGAGTGTGTGTGTGTGTGTGAAAGGATCGTCTCTTCGAATTCTTTTATATTTTGGTTTTGTGTCTTTACACCCTTGCCACACAGCTGCCAGGTGCGTGATGCTGGCATGGTAATTAAAATCATTGTAGAGAGCTTCCTCTTTCTTAAGCTAAAAACTGTTTTTAAAATAATTATTTTATTTAACTTTATTTATTTATTTTTAATTTGACCAGAGAGGGATGGAGCAAGAGAGAGAGAGAAAGCAAGCCTCCTGGTCGGGGCTCAAACCATGGTCCATCATGTGGGAATCCAGTGCCCCCAACCACCACGTCACCCACCGCCTAGGCTAAAAACTTTACACTTACCTAACAGGTTTAGCTTATATTTAATTTTGCACAGTTTAAATGTGTAGTATGTATAATTACTCTTAGCAAAGTATAGCATGTCCGTTCGTTAACCAGAATATTCTTTTTTCTATTTAGCAGACAGTACTTATGTACCAGATTCTGCACTAGTCCTTACAGTACAAAGGTGATTTGTGGATATTAAGAATCCATCCACTTAAAACTCAGCGACATTAAATAAACTAATTGTTTCAAAGAGAAATTCCTGTGTTGGGAGGTAATATCAAGAAGAGGATAGCATGCCTTTAGGGCACAGCTGAGGAAATAGGAAATGAACATGTTTGCTGATATCGTCTGTTGACCATAGTAACTGGCCTTTACAAGCCCTGTTTTTTACAAAAGTTTTTAACTTGGCATAGTTCTCTATGCATTGAAACTTTGAACAGGCTTTCATGTAGAAGAGAGAGCTTTAAGATCTTCAATTAAGTTTTTAAAAAATCTTTTTCTTAAATCCAAAATGTGACTACTTGAGCAGCACACATGAAAGAGACTGAGGAGTTTTCTTAGCCGCAAGAGAGTAGAGGAAGCTTCATTTTATGTAAAAAAAAAAAAAAAAAAAAAAAGGGTTAGTATAGAGACGACTCTAATGAAGTACACTAACCTGGTGTCTTTGGAAGGAAGAAGTGGCTTATGAATTACTGTTTTTAAAAATATTTCTTTTTTTTTTTTTTTAGACAGGTATTGATTTTATATTAGGGAAAAAAATTTAAACAATAGAATGGCATAATCTTATAAGGTTATCAAGTACTCTTGGACTGAAATTACACTAAGATCTGTGTGTTGCATTCACAGAAAGTAAAACTGACGATTAAAACACAGAGTGATTACAAGTCCCATGGCAAGTCTTTTTCCAAAAATGGTGCTATTGTATATTATTTGAGATTATCAAAGAACTGCTTATAATGGGCTGTTACATGGCCCTTCATTTCATGGGTGGGAGCCAGTAATAAAGGGATATAGCTCTTTCCATTCTGAGCAACTTCCCATGGGCAGGCCAAACCTGTCTTCTACCATCCCCCCAAAAAAATAGAGGATGCAGATCTTCTCAAACATAAAATAATGAAAAAAGAAGACAAAAATCTCCAAAGAGAGGACTGGAACTATTATACAATAGGTAAATCTGAACGTTAATTGATACTGCATAGAGCAGATGATACTGCAGCAACAGGAAAATGTTTTTGAGGCACCTCTGTCTTTTATTGTCTTAAAATTTCTATCTCATCGTGGGTTTTGAAAGAGTCAGTATTGAACTTTGCTCAGAGAGAATACTGTTTTTGACATGTTGTTAAAATTAATGACCTCATTCATGGACTTGTTATGTAATACTTTTAAGTCTTTTTTGTTTTTCTTAGTAACTGGAAATAATATTTAACATCGGTCAAATGGGTTAGGAAAGTAAAGATTGAAAACATATGGTTTTCCCCTAAAACTGTATTTGCAAACTGTTTTGTGTACTATGTTCAGCTTGCAGACAAAAGACATCACTCTCTTTCCTGAATCGACCAGACCTTCCAAACCTGGCTTATAAGAGGCTGAAAGGCAAAAACCCAGGAATTATTTTCATCCCTGGCTATCTTTCTAATATGAATGGTACAAAAGCATTGGCCATTGAGGAGTTTTGCAAGTCTCTCGGTCACGCCTATATAAGGTAGGAACGACACATTTTAGAGAAAATGCTGGAACCGTTTACTATGGCAATAAAGAATTCTACCCTAACCATTGAAAGAAGTGCCAGCATTTTTATAGATTATTTTATTTGAATGGTCTATAAACTTTCATTTTGAGATTTAGGGTCATTGTAAAACAGCCTTTAAAACATGTTTTTTAAAGGTGTTTGTGCCACACTGACAACACGAGTGGGAGAAGACATGAAAGAGGAACTAGTGGTAACTGAGCTCTTTAGATGTAATAATCTCCATGACAACAAATGAGTGTACTGGTTGGGTTTCTTGTAATTATATTGTGGTTTTCCATTGTGGACTTAAGGACTTATTTGACCATTTTTTTTATTACTCTTCTAGTCTATGAATTTAAAAATAACATAAGTATTTAAAAGTATTGTAAACTTGGTGTTGTGTAACTAACAGTTCTATTAAGCTTGCTCCGTTGCATCCCCATAATCCAAATATGTGTAAGCCTAAGTAGGAATAGGTGGTATTTAAATAAAACTTAATTTTGCAGTTCTTAATTTTTTATACTGACAGTTATTTTAGTAAAATAACTGTTTATATTGTTGTTAGATTTGTTTGTCTATAGAAATCACTTATTTAGTGTCCTATTTGCTAGAAAAGATAGTATGTTTTAGGAAAAATAACATTAGCCTAGAATTCAAGAAACATGGATTCTAGAATAAATTCTGGCAATGACTGTGGCAAGACAAGTCTGTTAGTAAGCATGGGACCTAATTTATTCATCAAGAAAGAAAGAGGTTAGACTACAGATAATTGCTGAATTTTTTTCTATCATTAATATCCTAAGAATATATTCATTTGTTGAGTTTTGGAAAAGATATGATGTATTTTTCTGTTTCCCTTTGCAAAAATGTGTCATTACTTTTCTGACAACAAATTATATTTTTAGAAGACTAGTTTATTAACATTCATTCAATTAATTCTAGAAAAAAAAACAGCTGTAGGGGGACCAGCAGTTAGCATACTGGCTATGTCATTGGACTCCCATGTAGTTGACCATGGTTCGAGTCCTGGACCTGGTGGCTTAAACTCATGCCAGGCGCATGTGCATGCATGCCCAAGATCCCGAGAGGAGAATGGAGGAGAAGGGATTGCAGCGTGACCTTCCCTGCTGGGGGGTGATTTCTCGCTTTCTGTCTCTCTGTCTCTCTCTGTCTTTCTGGCGAGTGCATATGCCTATAGCAAAAACCTCTCCAAAAGAAAAAACAGCTATATATAAAACTTTCAGGGTTTATCTGTTCAATATAGTAGCAGAAATTAAGTTGATTATATGTATTTAGTCTTATTCCATTTATCAAATTAATTGAATTAAATTTCCTTTAAAATCTGTAGTGATTTAACAGTCTGAAGACTGTAGTGTTTTTTTGTTTTTGTGCGTTTCTGTGTTTGTTTTGTTTGTTTTTTTAGGTGTTTGCCGCAGGGTACCTGTGCTTGCTGAGAGTGAGACAAAGAGGGATAGAGAGGGAGAAAGTGAGAAATCACCCCCCAGGGGGCACGACCATGCTACAATCCCTTCTCCATTCTCCTCTCGGGACTTTGAGCATGCACAAAAACACACTCAGTGTGATTTTTCAAGTGCCAGGTGTGGGTCTCCAACTGTGGTCAGTGACATGGAAGTCCAGTGCCTTAGCCAGTACACCACCTGCTGGACCCAAGACTGTAGATCATAGTATTTTTTTTAGAAGTAGATTGTGTAGTACTTTACTGAATGTTGGATAATATACACAGAATTAGAAAACACTGATCTTGCCCTTAAGGATCTTTCAGTCAGAGTGGGAAAATACAAGAAAAAACACACAGGAAATTAGGCAGAAATGTTCATCAGAATGTAATTGTCTCAAGAGCAGTATGTTTGACTGTGTAAAATAAAAGAAAGAAAATCGGTAACTGAGATGAATAGAGAAGATTTTATAAAGGAACATTGAAGAACAGGATTTGGGTGAGAGGGAAGTGCTATCCAGGGAGAGAAATTGCCCTTAAGCAGAGCTTCATAATATCAGAAGTACTGCTGTCATCCTTTTTTGACCTTAAAAAATTTTGAATCAAGAACTTGCTATTTTTTTAATTCTTGAATTTAAATTGAGACTATGAAATAGAAAAAGCCAGTTCCTGTCTCCCTATAAGACATAATGTGAGCTTTGTGCATTTTGGATACTACGCAAGAGTTCTTTAAGAAGTTCGTTGAAAATGCATGTGATGAAAAACTATGCTACATTTCATAATGTTTTGTACCAAAATAAATTCATACATTAATTTCATTTTTCCATAAAATGTCGAAGTTCTTAAGTTTTTTTATTTCTTTATACCATTTAAAAGACAGAAACAGAGATAGCACCCCATGCCTGCAGCCAAGGGCAGCCCCAGGTGAGCAGACCTGTGCACAGGACATTCACGGATGTCTCCAGCAGGAACGCAGAACCTTCCCGCGTGGCTTAACCTCCAAGAGCACCAGATTCCAGTGTTGTCCCACTGCCTGGCCCCCCATACAAATTTTTAATTTGATTGAGTTTCTTTTAATTTGTTCTTACCAAACTTCACTGCAATCCGATCACAATTAACAAATGAATTTTAGTTTATCTTATATTTATGTATTTTTCAGTTTCTTAGTTTACTTTTGTTGCATTTTTCACTGTAAACTTTAGATTTTAAATGATGAAAGTTAGCTCATTATTACAAGAAATTATATATAGGGCTGTATGGAAATGGTTTACTAATGTCCTGTCACTATGCCTGAAATAAGAATGAGTCAGAGTTCAGAATATAACACATAGTTTTAAGGCTAGTATTCTCCTTTGAGTGTTTCTAATAGAATTTTAAATTTGGAACTGTGTCTTGGAATATGATAGGACAGAATTGTTTTACTGTGTGAAAGTCCTAAAATGCTGTATGTGTTTGAATTATCTTTATCTCTAGATTAGGTTTCAGCAAACGTGAACTGTGTTTTTTATTTTACTTGTAACATGTTAGTATCATTAACTATTTCTATTTCCTTTCACTAAAGGAGTCTACCATTTATTTGGAAGGTAATTTTAAAAGATGCAGAATGTAGTGATACTCAATTGCCCGCCGAGGAAAGGGAAAAGAATTAGCTGGTATTGTTCTCCCCTCCTCTTTCTGGTCTGTCTTCTACATATTATGGATTGAGGGGAAACAGTAACTGATTTAGGTTATCAGCTGCCTTGTTTTATTTTCTAGGAATCCAAATAATTTTATTCGAAAATTAAAGATAGTTTTAATTTCTTATTCCTTTCATCACTTTTTCAAATTCCTTATCTCTAAGGAAATATGCATAAGTTATATATTATATGTATATTCTTTTATATGCCCTAAAATACTAGAGTTTCTTAGTTCTTGCCAGGTTTTGAGAATCAGATACAAACAAGACAGCTGTGCTATTTAAATGAAGTGGTTCTTTCTACTTTTTCTTTCCAACTCTATTCATTTAGCTAATATTGTTATCTTCAGTGGGTGAGAGTTTCATGCTTGGCCACTATAAAGAATGTGAAGGCAAAAATAAGATAATGGGGTTTCCCCTTCAGGATTCTAAAGTCTGACAGGACTGAACACACAAAGTATCTTAGCAAAAAGGATACAATAAATTGTGACTGATAAAAATAAATTTTACAGAAGTTTTATAGGGAAGAGATCTTTTTTTCATCCTGTTTGGGAAGACTTTGAGCACAAAGGTTCCTTTGAACTGTACTCTAGGAGAGGATATTAGTAATGATGGGAGACGGTGTACCAGGTGAAGGAAGACAGTGTAAGGTATGAAACAGACCAGAACACAGAGTCCACTTTCGGAATACAAAGTTGATCTATTTGGCTAAAGTAGTAGTTTCCTCTGAAGCGGTGATAAAAGATCGATCTGGGGACCAGCAGTTAGTGTAATGAGTTTAGGCTATGTCGCTGAGCTCCCATGTAGTTGACCGCAGTTCGAGTCCTGGACCCGGTGACTTAAAATAACACCGGGTGTGTGTGCATGCGTGCCCAAGGTCCAGATAGGAGAATGGAGGAAAGGGGATTACAGCGTGGCCACCCCCCCCGGGGGGTGATTTCTCACTTTCTATCTCTCTGTCTCTCTCTGTCTTTCTGGCAAGTACACACGCCTTATAGCAAAAACCTCTCCAAAAATAAAAATAAAAAAAGATCAATCTGAGCTGACCAGAATATAGTGGTCTTTAAAAAAAGAGGCCAAATGCCACATCTTTATCTTGCATATTACAGGGAGCAATTGAAAGTAATGGCATATCAATGTATTGTTTAAGATAAACCTGACAGGTACAAAGCAGATCCATTTGTGTGTGGACAGCTAGAAGGCTATCAGATGGTCTAGGTTTAAGATGACAGAGCCTGCACCAAGATACTGGCCTTAACCAGAATGTAAAGAAAGGGATGAATGCAAGCAGAGATGAGGGTGATGGTGCTGTGGGGCAAGCAGTGTCCTTACCCTGAAAAAACAACCTTGAGTAAAACCATCTTCCTCTGAGGAACTGACATAGCCACAAGGAGACAAATATTTAAAACTTTATTATGACACAATATGAAAAGTATGGAGTACATACAAAAGAAAGTGACTTAACAGGGCATTTATTTCCAGGAAGTTCCTCAAAAAAAGTGGCATGCATTGAAGGATAACTAGGAGCTTAGGTGGGAAAAGAAGGTGTTCTAGGTCGCAGAATGGCACCCAAAAGCTCAAAGTTGTGCAAGAGTTTATCTGGGAATTGGGAATACTTGAGTTTAACTAGGATTTAGGATTATTTCTAGGCACGTTATGATACTTCTTGATTTATTGAATTAGGACCTTGAAGATGTAAAATTTACAGATCAGACAGATTTTGAGCCTATAACTATTAATAGAAAGCTGTAAAGAGAATTGGATGGATTGATGATGATGAATTTGATTCTGGTCTTCCATTGATTCTGTAAATATATTTATAATCACTTCCACTCTCCGGTACTGGGAAGCTAGTGGTGAACAAGTCAGTATTTGTGGCCCATGTGGATCTTCTGTTTTAATGTGGGAGACAGGCCACAAATGAATAGTCACGTATCTTACACATCAAGTAGCAGTATGTGCTATGAAAAAGTTAAGCACAGTAAGGCAATAGAGAATGATGAAAGGACAGTTTGAATGACTGCTTAGTACAGGCTTTCAGGGTTGTAACATCTGGATCAAAAGCCTGAATGATGTCAGGAAGCAATCTAAGTGGACATCTGGAGGTTCAGGTATTCCATATAGAGAGTGGTTCCCAACCTTCCCGGCACCAGGGACTAGCCTCGTGGAAAACAGTACTAAAGATGGAGAAAGGAGGGAACCAGCAGTTAGCGTAATGGCTATGTTGCTGGACTCCCACGTAATCGACTGCGGTTCGCGTCCTGGACCCAGTGGCTTAAAACTGACGCTGGGCGCGTGTGCGTGCGTGCCCAAGATCCCGAGAGGAGAATGGAGGAGAAGGGATTGCAGCGTGACCATCCCCCCTGGGGGTGATTTCTCGCTTTCTGTCTCTATGTCTCTCTCTCTCTGTCTGGCGAGCGCACGCGCCCTATAGCGAAAACCTCTCCAAAAAAAAAAGATGGAGAAAGGAGGGTTGGTCCTAGGGTGACCCAGGTGCATCACGTCTTCCGTGCACCCCATTTCCACCACTGCTGCATCACAGTGTACAGTAAAGAACCACGTAATGGTAAGATTTGGGCTGTCATGAAAATCCAGTACCTCTGCTGATCTGACAGGAGGCAGAGCCATGCAAGTGATGGGGAACAGCTGCAAACACAAATGAGGCCTTGCTCACTCATCAGCCACCTTCCTGGTTGGGAGTTGAGGACCCCTGATGTAGAGGGACTAGCTGATGAGGCAGGAACGTAGGTTATATATTTCTTTCTTTTTTTTTTTGTAGGGGGGGAGGTTTTTGCTATAGGGCGCATGCGCTTGCCAGAAAGACAGAGACAGAAAGACTGAAAGCGAGAAATCACCCCCCTAGGGGGATGGCCACAGCACAATCCCTTCTCTTCCATTCTCTTCTCGAGATCTTGGGCATACACGCACACGTGCTCGGCGTGAGTTTAAACCACCGGGTCCGGGACTCAAACCGCAGTCGGCTACATGGGAGTTTAGCCACATAGCCATTACGCTAACTGCTAGTCCCAGGTTATGTATTTCTTAAACTTCAAGGAAGAAAGTGAGGACACAGTTGAGGAAGAACAGTAAGAAAGACCAGACTAAAAAGTCTTTGGAGGTTTTGTTCAAAACATGTTTTGTGTTTTAAAAGGATTGCTCTGACTAGTATGTGAGGAATGGACAACAAGGGTGAAAATGGAAATGGGGAGACGTATTTAGAGACTATTGCCTAAGACCAGATAAAAGATGATCACTTGATCCAGGCTGGTGTCTGTAAAGAAGGTAAGAATGTGATTGGATGGGGATGAGCAGATGGCCTAATGGCTACATCGCTGGACTCCCATGTAGTCGACCATAGTTCGAGTCCAGAACCCGGTGGCTTAAACTCACTCCCATGTAGTCGACCACGGTTTGAGTCCTGAACCTGGTGGCTTAAACTCTAGCACTTTGTTTATGGTGAGTGCATGCGCCCTATAGCAAAAATCTCTCCAAAAAAAAAAGGTGTGATTGGATGGTATAGGAGATATTTGAAGAGTAAACCAGTAGGATTTACTGGAATGTATATTGACTGTGATGTTTTACTATGTTTTAGATATTATAATAATGAAGGTTGTGTTACAATAATCAAAAAAATAGGTAGCTAGATATTTAGAATTTTTTTTTTTTCCTTTTTCCAGGTTTGATTACTCAGGAGTTGGAAGTTCAGATGGTAATTTAGAAGAATGCACAGTGGGGAAATGGAGAAAAGATGTTCTTTCTATAATTGATGACTTAGCTGTAGGACCACAGGTGACTATTTTTGTTAAATATAATGTAATTATTGACTGTGATCTCATGATATGTGAGCTGTTTCTTTACATGGGAAAAATACTTAATGATGGTGCTGTGGGGCAAGCAGTGTCCTTACCCTGAAAAAACAACCTTGAGTAAAACCATCTTCCTCTGAGGAACTGACATAGCCACAAGGAGACAAATATTTAAAACTTTATTATGACACAATATGAAAAGTATGGAGTACATACAAAAGAAAGTGACTTAACAGGGCATTTATTTCCAGGAAGTTCCTCAAAAAAAGTGGCATGCATTGAAGGATAACTAGGAGCTTAGGTGGGAAAAGAAGGTGTTCTAGGTCGCAGAATGGCACCCAAAAGCTCAAAGTTGTGCAAGAGTTTATCTGGGAATTGGGAATACTTGAGTTTAACTAGGATTTAGGATTATTTCTAGGCACGTTATGATACTTCTTGATTTATTGAATTAGGACCTTGAAGATGTAAAATTTACAGATCAGACAGATTTTGAGCCTATAACTATTAATAGAAAGCTGTAAAGAGAATTGGATGGATTGATGATGATGAATTTGATTCTGGTCTTCCATTGATTCTGTAAATATATTTATAATCACTTCCACTCTCCGGTACTGGGAAGCTAGTGGTGAACAAGTCAGTATTTGTGGCCCATGTGGATCTTCTGTTTTAATGTGGGAGACAGGCCACAAATGAATAGTCACGTATCTTACACATCAAGTAGCAGTATGTGCTATGAAAAAGTTAAGCACAGTAAGGCAATAGAGAATGATGAAAGGACAGTTTGAATGACTGCTTAGTACAGGCTTTCAGGGTTGTAACATCTGGATCAAAAGCCTGAATGATGTCAGGAAGCAATCTAAGTGGACATCTGGAGGTTCAGGTATTCCATATAGAGAGTGGTTCCCAACCTTCCCGGCACCAGGGACTAGCCTCGTGGAAAACAGTACTAAAGATGGAGAAAGGAGGGAACCAGCAGTTAGCGTAATGGCTATGTTGCTGGACTCCCACGTAATCGACTGCGGTTCGCGTCCTGGACCCAGTGGCTTAAAACTGACGCTGGGCGCGTGTGCGTGCGTGCCCAAGATCCCGAGAGGAGAATGGAGGAGAAGGGATTGCAGCGTGACCATCCCCCCTGGGGGTGATTTCTCGCTTTCTGTCTCTATGTCTCTCTCTCTCTGTCTGGCGAGCGCACGCGCCCTATAGCGAAAACCTCTCCAAAAAAAAAAGATGGAGAAAGGAGGGTTGGTCCTAGGGTGACCCAGGTGCATCACGTCTTCCGTGCACCCCATTTCCACCACTGCTGCATCACAGTGTACAGTAAAGAACCACGTAATGGTAAGATTTGGGCTGTCATGAAAATCCAGTACCTCTGCTGATCTGACAGGAGGCAGAGCCATGCAAGTGATGGGGAACAGCTGCAAACACAAATGAGGCCTTGCTCACTCATCAGCCACCTTCCTGGTTGGGAGTTGAGGACCCCTGATGTAGAGGGACTAGCTGATGAGGCAGGAACGTAGGTTATATATTTCTTTCTTTTTTTTTTTGTAGGGGGGGAGGTTTTTGCTATAGGGCGCATGCGCTTGCCAGAAAGACAGAGACAGAAAGACTGAAAGCGAGAAATCACCCCCCTAGGGGGATGGCCACAGCACAATCCCTTCTCTTCCATTCTCTTCTCGAGATCTTGGGCATACACGCACACGTGCTCGGCGTGAGTTTAAACCACCGGGTCCGGGACTCAAACCGCAGTCGGCTACATGGGAGTTTAGCCACATAGCCATTACGCTAACTGCTAGTCCCAGGTTATGTATTTCTTAAACTTCAAGGAAGAAAGTGAGGACACAGTTGAGGAAGAACAGTAAGAAAGACCAGACTAAAAAGTCTTTGGAGGTTTTGTTCAAAACATGTTTTGTGTTTTAAAAGGATTGCTCTGACTAGTATGTGAGGAATGGACAACAAGGGTGAAAATGGAAATGGGGAGACGTATTTAGAGACTATTGCCTAAGACCAGATAAAAGATGATCACTTGATCCAGGCTGGTGTCTGTAAAGAAGGTAAGAATGTGATTGGATGGGGATGAGCAGATGGCCTAATGGCTACATCGCTGGACTCCCATGTAGTCGACCATAGTTCGAGTCCAGAACCCGGTGGCTTAAACTCACTCCCATGTAGTCGACCACGGTTTGAGTCCTGAACCTGGTGGCTTAAACTCTAGCAAGGTACATATGTGTGCATGCCCAAGATCCCGAGAGGAGAATGGAGGAGAAGGGATTGAGGCGTGGCCATCCCCCCACCCCCGGGGAGGTGATTTCTCTCTTTCTGTCTCTCTGTCTCCCTCTTTGTTTATGGTGAGTGCATGCGCCCTATAGCAAAAATCTCTCCAAAAAAAAAAGGTGTGATTGGATGGTATAGGAGATATTTGAAGAGTAAACCAGTAGGATTTACTGGAATGTATATTGACTGTGATGTTTTACTATGTTTTAGATATTATAATAATGAAGGTTGTGTTACAATAATCAAAAAAATAGGTAGCTAGATATTTAGAATTTTTTTTTTTTCCTTTTTCCAGGTTTGATTACTCAGGAGTTGGAAGTTCAGATGGTAATTTAGAAGAATGCACAGTGGGGAAATGGAGAAAAGATGTTCTTTCTATAATTGATGACTTAGCTGTAGGACCACAGGTGACTATTTTTGTTAAATATAATGTAATTATTGACTGTGATCTCATGATATGTGAGCTGTTTCTTTACATGGGAAAAATACTTAATATTTTAAGTGATAAATAATTTATTATGGTATTTGACTTTGAATTGTCATGTCTTTCTCAGTAAAATGTATTTTACTTTCCATTGCACAAATTTTATTTTCATAGTTCATGCCATATTATAGGTGTAATACTTTTAATGAAAAGTTAATCATACGGGACGAGCAGTTAGCATAATGGCTATGTCGCTGGACTCCCACGTAGTCGACCATGGTTCGAGTCCTGGACCCTGTGGCTTAAACTCAGGCTGGGCGCATGTGCGTGCGTGCCCAAGATCCTGAGAGGAGAATGGAGGAGAAGGGATTGCGGCGTGGCCATCCCCCCTGGGGAGTGATTTCTCTCCTTTTCTATCTCTCTGTCTCTCTCTGTCTGTCTGGTGAGTGCACGCGCTCTATAGCAAAAACCTCTCCCCCCAAAAAAGTTAATCATAACTAAATTCTACTTTGTGCCAAGTATTAAAAGTCTGGGAGCTAATAGACAAAAATCCCTCTTTAAATCTGTACATATTTTTATTTTTAGATCCTAGTTGGATCTAGCCTTGGTGGATGGCTTATGCTTCATGCTGCAATTGCACGGCCAGGGAAGGTCATGGCTCTTATTGGTGTAGCTACAGCAGCAGATGCCCTAGTGACAAAATTTAATCAGCTTCCTATTGAGGTAAGTCACACTTAGCTTTGGTAACCTCAGTGTATACCTCTCATCATTCTTCTGCTGCTTCTTAGAATATTTGTTCATGCATGCTCTCCCGTGGGCTTATTGTGTTAGCCCATCTTTTGTCTTAGCTGCCTGCTTGTACACAGTCTCTGTCACCTTTAACTGTTTGGGCTCTTGTTTAAGGTTTCTTTGTCTTTGTAGTCCTTTCAGGTCATTCTGCCAAATGTTTGAGCCACATTAAGGAAATCACACTTTAAAATTTTATTTTTTAGTAACATTTTCTTAGTTGGATCTTACATTATGATCTTTTTATATCTCTCATTTTATTTTGTGGCATATGGACAATAATAATACCTATTCTTTTTTTTTAAGAGGTTTTTGCTACAGGATGCATGTGCTCTCTAGAGAGACAGAGAGAGACAGAAGTGAGAAATCACCTCCCCAGGGGATGGCCACGCTGCAATCCCCTCTCCTCCATTTTCTTCTCGGGATCTTGAGCATGCACACGCGCCCAGCATGAGTTTAAGCCACTGGGTCCAGGACTTGAACCGCGGTCGACTACGTGGAGGTTCAGCAACATAGTCATTACGCTAACTGCTAGTCCCAATACCTCTTCTTATGGACATGTTATGCTGAGCTTTTCGATTATGAAACTATTTTTTAGTCTTTGGGTCCTCCCAATGGAGCTCTCCAGGCAGACATTATCAGTCAATCAGAGCCAGCACAGAGAACAAACTTGCCATTCCTGGCTTTGATACTTACTTGGCGTTCTTTTTTCTACTCCTAAGTCTTTTTAAAAAAGTCTTATTAGCATGTTCTTCAGCAAATTATGGTACAAATGAGGTTTTTGAAATAACTAGAAAGGTAAGTAGTTTATTACATTCCTACTGGACATATGTTTAAGCACTTCAGTTGCCATAGATCATGTTTTGTTTATTCTTAGTTCATGTTGTCGTAGCTTCTTAAGAAATAGCATTGCAGGGGCCAGATGGTGGTACGGTAGTAAAGCAGTGTGCTCTCTAAGGCTTCTTCACGTGGGAAGGTTCCAGGTTCATGTCCAGAGACCTCTCTGGAGTGCCCAAGATCTGGCACTGGCTGGTGCTGGGTGTAGAGCGTGACATCTAGACCCCCTGTGGGTGCTGTTTCTGTTTCTGTCTCAGTGTCTGTTTCTGTCTGTCTCTTACTCATGGAAAAAAATAAGCAAATTAAAAAAAAATTGTTTTAAAGGGTTATTTGCATTGCCAGACTCCTCATATTATTTCCTATCACTACTGAAATTACATATCTGTTTTTCCTTGGACTTACCTCCTTTTTGTGAAGTTTTTTTTTCACCTTCTTGGTCCTTTCTTATACATAGTTGTTCTATCCTCATACTGTTGCCTTGTGCATCTATACCATGAGTCCCTTTTCTTATTTTGAGAGATTTTTGCTATAGGGCGCATGTGCTTGCCAGAGAGACAGAAAGCAAGAAATCCCCCTTGGGAGGATGGCTGCGCCATAATTTCTTCTCAAGTCACTTCTTAGGATTTTGGGCACACATACACACACACACACACACACACACACACACACAGTGTGAGTTTCAAGCCACCAGATCCAGGACTCCAACCATGGTTGACTACGTGGGAGTCCACAATGTAACCCTTACAACATCCACTGGTCCCCCATAGACTCCTTTTACCATCTTCTAACTTAATAATGCAGTGCTTATCATGGTAGGAAATAATCTCAAGGACACAGATTAAAAATAATCAAACAGTTTTTTGGTTATTGGGAAGTTATAAGATCTATGTACGTTTCTTTTTGCATGTGTGTATCTCCTTGACTCAGAGTGAGGATAAGTGACCTCTAATCCGCAAATCAGGGCATATCTTTGCTAATCCCAAAGTAGATATGCAAGCAGTTATTAATAGAAGCATGTTGAACCCTTCTTTATTTAAAAGCACGTTTAAGGAAAGGGTAGGGCTGTAATGTCTTCTTTTCCCCACAAACAGCTAACCCTAACAATGTCAATGGAGCAGAAATGGAAATTTTTACCATCTTTTGTAACAATGGAAATATCAATCCCAACATTTACCATTTTTTAGGGACTTGACCTCTCCCTTAACTGGCTCTAATCATTATCTCCTTATTTGGACACTAGGGGGCCTTACACAGGGTGCACAAATGTTTGGAATCTAAGCTTCTGCCTTTATAGGGTTTCTGCTTTGTATAGAATTCATGTATACTGTACTTTTTCTTTCAGCTGTTTTTTACTGTTTTTGAACTTGATTTTGAGGGTTTGAGACACACAACATTTTATAAGGTTAACTTCGTTCTTCAAATGAACCAAATGTATTCCTTTCAGTGGCAGATAGCAGAATAATTGGGGGCAGAGATGCTTAAACTAAAACTATAATTAATTCTGTGTCAGTAATTAGCATAGCTTACACTTAAGTTCATAACCAGTGAAACTGATTTCTAACTACTGAAATACATGCAAATTCAGGAACAATCTTGAGTAGCTAAGGATAACTAAATATAATTTTTGCTTTAAATATTTGGTTCCCACATGTTGTTTTAATACAGGGAGTCACATGATGTTAAAATTGATTTATGCATTTTATAGTTTTTTAGAATTTTATGAATTTCAAATCATTTATAGACTGATTTGAAGAAGTGTAGATTTCTGATACATAGCTTTTCATTGAATTAATAAGTCCTTTCAGAATTAAAAGATGTACACTAAAATACCTAAATATATATAGGTCATATCACATATATTTTATTGGCTTTTTGTTTTTTTATTTGCAATAAATTACTGATATATATTATTTCAGTTTTGAGAATCTTTCCAAAGAATTATATACAGATAAACCTTTATGCTCAATGATATTCACATAAGTTCACAGCAGTATGGAAATTGTCAAGCTAATTACATTAACTCAATTATACTAGGCTATTCTACAGCAGTTAAAAATTTCCCATAGAATTTTTTAAAGCCCAGACATATATTTAGTAAATAAAGGAAACTGTATATGAATATGGAATATATGTGTATTGCATATTACATGTATAAAAAACACACATGGGACCAGCAGGTGGTATATTGTTAAGGCATTGGACTCCCACATGGCTGACCACAGTTTGAGTGTCAGACACAGTGGCTTGAAAATCACACTGGGTGCATGTGTGGGCCCAAAATCCCAAGAGGAGTCTGAAGGAAAAAGGATTGTGGCATGGACATTCCCTCTGGCAGGAGATTTTGGTCTTTCCCTCTTTGTCTCTCTCCAGGCAAGTGCATGTACCCTGTGGCAAAAAAATATAAAGGAAAGCCTTAGAAAAGTAAATAAAACCCACACACATGGAAAAGTACTAAAAGGAAATAAATATTAATGTTTGTATATATGAGGTAGGATTGTGGGTGATTTCTTTTTATACTTTTTTGTATTTTGTGTTTTCTGTAATGAGTATATGTTACTCATAGAAAATTCTAATTTATATTAGAAAAATAATTTGAAAAATTGTAATACAAAAGTAGGAATTCTCAAAGAAAAGACATATATTATAAAAATAAATGTAGAAATGATATTATTGTTCATTTTTTTAGAGTACTTGAAGTTGTGTCATCCAAAACAAGCAGGGATTTTTTTCATTTATAAAACTCTGTAAAGTAAAAACTATGTATTTTTTTTACGTTCAGCCTAAAATTCCATAATTGTATTTTATCATTGTCCTAGAATAACCAGTCTTATTTTTTATTTTCAGTTCTAAACTTGGTTCTTCTCTTCCCTTAGCCACACCCATTTTAGCTACTTCTCTTATAGGCACTTTTAGTTCTATGCTTTTGAAATCTAAAAAGATTTTTCTCCTTTCCTCCTTTGATTTGAGGGTAAAGCAACACGTGATTTAAGAATGCTATATGTTGGATTTGGTCCTGTAGCCTAGTGGTTGGGGGAACCACATCCCACATGACCAACCACATTTGATTCCTGGCACTTGTGGAATCCCCATAGGATGGAAAAATGGAGATGAAATTGCAGAGTGACTATGCTCCATTGGGGATTTCTTTTATTTATTTTTTTTTGAGAGGTTTTTGCTATAGGGCGCGTGTGCTTGCCAGACAGAAACAGAGAGACAGAAAGCGAAAAATCACCCCCTAGGGTGGATGGCCACGCCGCAATCCTTCTCCTCCATTCTCCTCTCGGGATCGTGGGCACGCACACAGGCGCGCACCCGGCGTGAATGAGTTTAAGCCACCGGGTCCAGGACTCGAACCGCGGTCGGCTACATAGGAGTCCAGCGACATAGCCATTACACTAACTGCTGGTCCCTCGGGGATTGTTTCTCACTCTTCTCTCTCTCTCTCTCTCTCTCTCTCTCTCTCTGTCTCTGCCAAGTGCACACACCCTCTGGCAATTTAAAAAAACAAAAAGGATGCGATATGATCAAGTTAGATAAATCTCAGTTTGAATCCTGGTCATAACACTTATTACCTTTGAACTTGGTATATGATATTTAGCCTCTCTGAACCTTAATATCCTCTTTTATTAACATGGAATTATCAGTATCCTACAAGATAATATGTATAAAGTACCTGTCACAGTACTTTACACAGGGTGTTGCATTGGTTATTATTGTTACACTTTCGTTATCTCTTTCCTCTTGCTAAAGGACTACTCTCCTCAGATTATTTCAAATTGTTGCATATGTTTAAACCATACTTTGATTTTCTCATTTTTCCCCAATAGGTAAAAAAGGAAGTGGAGTTGAAAGGTGTGTGGACCTTGCCATCAAAATACCATGAGGAAGGAGCCTACCACATTCAGTACAGTTTCATTAAAGAAGCCGAGCAGCACTGCTTGTTACACAGCCCTATCCCCGTGACCTGTCCTATCCGATTGCTCCATGGCATGAAGGACGACATCGTCCCCTGGCACACGTCCATGCAGGTTGCCGACCGCTTAGTCAGCACCGATGTCGATGTCATCCTCCGCAAACACAGTGATCACCGAATGAAGGAAAAAGCGGACATTCAGCTTCTTGTCTACACCATCGATGATTTAATTGATAAACTTTCAACTACAGTTAACTAGGATCACATTTTTAGCTGTTAGTAAATTAATGTATCCAGGCATTGCGAGAGGGAGGACAGATGACAGACTCTGACACTTTCAGTTTCTCCCTCTTACCTCTGTTTTGTAAATATCACATAAGTATTTATTTAATGATGTTATTTGCACAAGTAATACAAATTGTGAAGGAAGTACCAAGCTGCTATTTGGACCATTTTCTCTTTTTTTCAATCCTTGATTTTTTTTTTTCCATTAAAATTTTTCCTATTTTTTTATTCAAGAAATGTTTACCTTTCTTATGTTTATGTTAGCTACACTAGCTCTTAATTACATCCTCTTCTACTTAGAGTAACTAATAAAGCTTGAATATTTTGTTTTTTGGTTTAGTACAAATATATATATATGGAAATTTGTAAAATTACACTGGATTTTAAAACAATTCACAACATAGAGGAAATGTTTATTGAAATAAATCTGAAATGATTAGAGAAGTGTTAGAGGCATAATAAAGTTAAAAAAATAATATTACTTTTATTATATGCTGCATGTTATATTTATACTTAGAATTAAGGTTTTACTTTTTATAAGACACAACTTTTTAGTGATAGATATTTCTAAATTTTGACTTATATGTCATATTTAAATGGGGAGTTGCATCTTAAACAATGATGTATCATTTTTATATCATGATTGGCAAAACTGAAGAGGAAGTTTTGAGATATTACTGTCTACTTGCAGAAATGTTAATTTTTTAGGACCAGGTCACTGGACTCCCATGGAGTTGACTGCAGTTAGAGTCCTGGACCCGGTAGCTTAAAACTCACACTGGGTGCGTGTGTATGCATGCCCAAAATCCTGAGAGGTGAATGGAGGAGAAAGGATTGTGGCATGGCCATCGCCCCTGGGGTGTGATTTCTTGCTTTCTGTCTTTCTGTCTCTCTGGCAAGCTCATGTGCCCTATAGTAAAAATCTCTCTAAAAAGAGAAGTTAATTTTTTGTCGGCATTTGTCATAAGTGCAAATAGCCAAGTGATTGCCATCTAAATCAGATTGCTTTCTGAAATGTAGACAGTTGGTAAGAAAATACAAAATGCAAGTATACAGTTTTGTTTCTTAATAACTACAATGAGCTTGTACAGTAGTTGGCCTCGATTTTATTGAGTTGTGTTTTTTCTCTATTAATTTTGACTGGTCTTTAATTAGCCTGCTTAGATTATAAGTTCAAGTAAAACTTGTATTAAGCTGACAATGACTCAATATATATAATGAGCAAGTGGCAGGTATTATTTAACTCATTAATGAAGGAACTAGCAAATAGTATATGTGGTTCAAAAAACAATTCAAGAAAGTAAGTTTAATTTATTGATGTTGAAAAAATGTTGGGATAATATTGCTGTGCAGGAAAGTGTCACCATAGTTGCCCTACTGCTCATGTGTAAGAGAGACCTTTACAAGGCTGGCCCTTGGCTGGCATCTGGGAACTTGAGTTTCAGGGGGCTTCTATTGTTCCTAGAGCTGGTAAGAGTAGCTCGCTATGCCTAACCTGTCTGGACAAGTGATACCGTTTGGGCTGAATACCTTTCCTTCTGGCCGTCTGGAAATTGAGGTTGGGCCAGGCAGAGACTGCCTCTGTGACCAGCTCCCAGGAAATACCCTGGGCACTGAGTCTCCTACAGGCTCCCCTGGTGGGCAGCATTTCATGCATGCTGTTAAAGCCCATTGGGAGAGTGAAGCTTTTGCTGTGTGAAACCCCGGGAGGGGATTCTTGTAAACCCGCACCTGGTTTCACGGGCCTTCACCCCATGTGCTTTTCCCATTGCTGATTTTGCTTTGTATCCTTTCACCGTAATAAATCACAGCTGTGAGTAGAACTGTATGCTGAGTCCTCTGAGTCCTCTAGCAAATCTTTGAACCCAGGAGTTGTCCTGGAGACCCGATACCCATACAGAACTGATCAGTGTTTTAGAGAGTAATTGAACTACACTCCACCGGACAAAAACAAAGAAGGTGAATCATCTGTGTGCCATGGTGCCTGGTGCTGGCATCCTCAACCTGAGAGGAGAACATTATTTAAGGGCCTGTCTCACCCAGACATCGAGGGGCATCAGAGTTACTAGAAACATGAGCGTTCTGGAGTTAGAATTAAAATGTAGTGAATGTGATTAGATTCTTAATAGAATATTCAGAAATAGTTTAGAATGGTAGTTAAGAGCAAAGAGTCCAGAGCGTAAGTTTGAATCGTGGCCCATCATTTACTGGCTTTGTGACTGGACAATTTAACGTCCTTGGGCTTCCGTTTTCTCATCTATAAAGTGATATGAAATGAACCCAAGTAACCGGGTACACATAGCCATAGGATCAATGACACATTCTTTTGTTTTTACTATATAGAAAGCATAATTTAGAGAGTGATGAACACACCCTGCAGAGGTAAGGAAGCAGATGGGGCTTCGAAAGCTGAGTTGGATGGACCTTAACTTCAAGATCCCAAATTGGAACATTAATTTTTAGATGTTCTTTCAAATAGTCAATGGCTGGGGAAAAAAGAATAGAGGAAAAGGAAGTTTCTTGATCTAATGATAGGAAATGCTGTTACACATTTCATCTAGTTTTGTGAGGTTAACATTACACGTTCATAGTGAGTTTGGATCCATAAGATTGAGTGCATTTTAGTACATCATTAGCTACTTCAGTGTTTTTCCTACTTTTCCGCAAACCTCTTTCTAAAACCATTTTATGCCATAGATTCAGTGACACGTGAAATACACGAACAGCCAGCCGCCTCTAAGTGCCTTTTCTCTGGGACTCCTGAGTTATTTTTAAAGTGACGTGACTCCTAAACAGTCTCAGTATATGCAACAGAAGAATAAGCAAATGCCAACGCAAAGGAAGGCTCCATGAGGCCACTTGGTTTACTTTGCTGTTGCTGCATCTGTTGAGCTCAGGGGTATTTCCAGACACAAATCTAAACAGGATGCCCTTTGAGCAGCCAGTAGAAAGGTCTGCAGAGGACAGGAAGAGAAGACCAAGGATAAGATAAGAGATAAGGGAACATTCCTATCTACATAATTACTCCCAGGACCGTACCCAAAGTGAGTATGCCTAATGTTCATTAAATTGGAAAGAGTTTTAAAAAATTGTAAAACTTTGTCTGGAGGAGGGGAGAAGGTGGATGGAATTATATGTACCATTCTAAAGTTCCCTTTATATTATATACAGATCTAAAGTAACTTCTTAACTTAGAAATAATTTTGTCCTACGTGTAACTTTGGCCAGAAAAGGTGATGCTTTGGTATACATAGAAAACATACCTAGAAAAATGCAGTTTTTACCCAAATCTTTAGGGAAAAATATGCTTTGCCATTATGTTGTCTGCTTTTCCTGGACTTTTCAGGTATTTATTGATAGATACCCTTTCTTCTATTAAAAAAGAAGCTCAGATGTCAGTTTCTCTGTGAAGCCCTTTCTAAGTCAGCCCCAAGTTATTTTTTCCAGGAAGTTTGTTACTGGCCCTCTGTGCTCTCATGAACAGCTCTCTCTCTGTGTCTTTTTGATAGAGCCCACTGCTTTGAGATTCTCACTATGTATGCCAGCCTGCCCTTGGCAAAGGACCATGGAGGCCAGGAGCTTCATTTGGACAATGTTTATCCCAGACATCTGTCCCCTGCTTTGCTGGCTCCTCCTCCCACATCATGATGTATGTTCTGGCCTGAGCACTCCTGTGCTTATTCACCTTGAGCAGCATCCCCATGTTCATGGTTTGAACCAGGACCTGCATGCAGGTGATTCAAGTATGATCAACATTTCCACAGCCTGGATTGCTCGCTTGAGCTCCAGACCCATGAAACCAACTGCCTAATGAACTGGGCTGAACCACGGACCTCCCAAATGCAGTACGTCTGCAGCTCACTGCCTTGCTCAGGTTATGTACCTCCCTGTTTGTAAGTCCTCTTACTGTACATGCTGCCTCCATACTCCTGTGACACCAGACTGTGTGTCACATTGACTGTGTCCTTTTCCTTTTCCCAAATGAGATCTGGTCATTCTTTTTCCCTGTGAAAGAGCTCAAACCTTCTGCATGATACATAAGCCTGTGCAAGACCGGTAAATGTTTTTTTGTTTTGCTTTGCATTTTTTTGCAGTCAATAAGAAATTTACTTGTTTTTAAAAAAATCCAAATGCTGGCATTGTCCAGAAAAATTTAACAAGTTTATTTATAATTGTTATAAAGTTGAACTGCTGAAACTTGTTCCCCAAAACATTTTGACTTGCATTAATGTTTTACATCCCCGCATTTATATTAAAAATCCACAACAAATGAAAATGGAAAAACTGCCAATACCCGATTTCTGTCCCCTATTTTCCACTTGCAATCATATATTTAGGTACTTTCTGACCCCATGGGGAAAAAAATCTAATGTTCAGAACTACCAATAACAGGAAGAAGAGAAAAAAAATTTTTTTTTTGAGAATGAAATGTTTCCCATCATAGTGGATTCTTAAGCACATTCTCCACGTTATGCGGCATGCTAGCTGGATGTCTTTTGGCATAATTGTTACACGTTTGGCATGGATAGCACACAGGTTGGTATCTTCGAAAAGGCCTACCAAATAGGCCTCACTTGCCTCCTGCAAAGCACCAATAGCTGCGCTCTGGAAACGCAGATCTATTTTGAAATCCTGAGCAATTTCTCACAGCAGACGCTGGAAAGGAAGTTTGTGAATCAGAAGTTCAGTGGATTTCTGATAACGTCTAATTTCACAGAGTGTCACAGTACTGGGCCTGTAACAACAGGTTTCTTCACCCCTCCAGTAGAGGGCGCACTCTTGCGAGAGGCTTTTGTAGCCAGTTGCTTCCCTGGTGTTTTACCACCGTGGATTTGCAGGCTGTTTGCTTTGTATGAGCCATGGTAAAGAGACCTCCTCACTTGGAGCTCGGCGAGCTAGAGGCAGCGCTGCTGTTGGAGAGAGACCGTGGCGCGGTGGCGGCTGCGAACACCAAGACTAGTAAATAAATGTTAAACTGGTTTTCTAGGAAAAAGGGAAAAGAGGGGAAAAAAAAAAGAACGGCCCCAGATGGTGTGGAAATTAAGGCAGATAGATTCCCTCATGGCCAACTGCATGGCTCAAGTCTTGGACCTGGCAGCTTGAAAATCATGCTGGGCACATGCATACATGCCCAAAATCCTGAGAGGAGAATAGAGGAAAAAGGATTGAGCTGTGGCCATCCCCTTTGGGGTGTGATTTCTCACTGTCCCTTTCTCTTTTTGTGTGTCTGATGAGCACACACGCCTGGTGGCAAAAACTAAGAAACAAACAAGAAAAACTCCGATTTTTAGCATTGCCAGTATCCATAGCACAAATACCATCTTTACTGGTTTCAAGCTACAATCATGACATTTCTGAAAATGAAGTTGGGAAGAAATGTGCAATAGCATACCACGTAGAGACAATAAACACAAGTATCTTTGTGAATGTAGGTAATAATAACATGCAGAGAAATAAATGAGGGTACGATTTGGGTTTTTTTTTGTTTTTTCGGTTTTTGGAGAGGTTTTTGCTATAGGGCACATGCACTTGCCAGAAAGAGAAAGACAGACAGACAGAAAACAAGAAATCACCCCCCCGGGGAGGATGGCCACGCCACAATCCCTTCTCCTCTATTTTCCTCTCGGGATCGTGGGCTCACATGCACATGTGCCCAGCGTGAGTTTAAACCACCAGGTCTGGGACTTGAACTGTGCTTGATTACATGGGAGTCCAGCGACATAGCCATTACACTAACCACTGGTTCCTATAATTGGTTTGACTAACCTTTTTTTTTTTTTTTTAAGTTTTTGTTGTTGTAGGGTGCCTGCGCTCACAGGTGGGAAAGAGAAACTTAGGGAAAGTGAAAAATCACCCCTTGGGGAGATGGCCATGCCACAATCCCTTCTCCTCCAGTCTCCTCTCAGGATTTTGGGCACACATGCACACTCACCCAGAATGTGTCCAAGACTCTAACCACCACTGGCCATGTAGGAGCCCAGCACTTCAATCACCACGCCACCTGCTGGCCCCTGAGTAACCTTTGTTTTTAATATAATGTTTTTAAGGATAAGTTAACATAATTTAACTACTAATAACAGCCGAGTTTAGTAACAGGCTCTCAAATTCCTGAAAATGTAACGCCAGATGAGTTCTTCAAGCGGCTGAGTCCAGGATTAGAACAGCACAGTCACCATGTGAGATCCAGTGCGTTAACCATGCTACCGGCTGACTCAATTTACTGTGGATTTCTAGAAACTTCTAAACAATTCTTTGCGGTGTCCCCTCTCTGCCATCTTATCCGCTCCAGATAATTCCCTTAAAGCACACCAGCTATGCTATTACAGCAGAGAGTATCTGAGGGTACAAAAGATTGGCAAAGTACAGTATAAAAAAAAGGAATTAGGGGTCAGCAGGTGGCATAATGGTTAAGGCATGTGATTCCCACATGACCGACCTCAGTTCGAGTCCTGGACCTACGTGGCTTGAAACTCACTCCAGGCACATGCTTGTGTGTGCCCAAAGTCCCGAGAGGAAAACAAAGGAGAAGGGATTGCAGCATGGCCATCGCCCGGGGGGG